GGCATACATGTTGTAATTCTACATAGTAGACGTATAAGTCACAGATAACCCGAGATACGGTTACTTAGATAATTCAATATGACTTAATGATGATGCATAACGTGAGATATGGTGACTTGGATAATTCAATATGATGACTTAATGATGATGCATAACGTGAGATATGGTGACTTGGATAATTCAGTATGATGACTTAATGGTGATGCATAACGTGAGATACGGTTACTTGGATAATTCAATATGATGACTTAATGATGATGCATAACGTGAGATATGGTGACTTGGATCTTTGAAAATCCAAGATGACTGCTAAAAATTGTCTGACATAAACACCACAGGCAAACTCCTTGCCACCAAAAGCATATAATTATTTTGATGACCTAATGATGATGGTGTGTCGTAAATAACCTGAGATATGATCACTTTCACATTTTAATTTTAATTATTTTTATTTTGTTTCTGGAGCCATTGAAAATCTTGTCATTACCTATACTTCCTGGAAGTTTAGTACTTTTGTCCGGCAAATAACGCTCATTTCTCTAAGGGAACCTACTATCTTGTGAAGTTTGATATTAACATATTAACAAATCTTTGGAATATGTATTATATTAATATTAATACGTTAATTTTTTGAATGAAATATTCTTAATATTTTCTCTTTTATTTAAGATCAGCAGAAATACACAAAAGCAAGTATGATAAAAATCTTCAAACATTTTTGGATTGTATCCATTTGGAATCTGTTTTAGAGCCAAATAAACCATTAGTGCAAATACGAATGTCAGCTATTGTATCACCTAACTTATTGGTAAATATTCAATAATTAAAGAATCTAAATCGTTATCTCATCGTTTCTGTCTGCTTTAAGGATTTTTTAATGAAACTGTGAAATCCATAATTATCACTCAATGATGAATTTTCTTTTTGTGCGCTATTGTCCCTATTCTATTAAAGGGACATACCGCTATTTTTTCAAAAGATCGTAAATTATACCTAAAAAAATTTCTTACGCATGCTATTTATATCTACTTGATCAAAATTAATTTGTTTTAAAATGGTTAAAAACGGTTAGTACTATTAAGCAGTTTGACCCAGATTTGGTGTTTGGCTTTATAGGCTAATGGCTCGATGTTATTAGTTGAAACCGCTCTACAATTAAGCGTTTCTTACTTAAATCCGTATAGTAGTTTTCTAACAGCTTCCAAAAAGCATAACGAACTTTAAAAGTTTACTTTAACTTTTAAAATAGTTTGGCGTTAATAAATTAACGGCTGGATTTCTTTCAATTAAAACTTTCAGATACGTAAAGGGACACATTTCTCGAGATTTTGGTTTTCATAAATTGGAGTAAATAATTTTGCCGACATACAAATAATGTCCCTTTAAACACGATGTAGTACGATCTGATTCGTTGATGTACTGACTAGCTGATCGCGAATGACAAAAGATCGTGCTGATTGTTAAAAACTGGCACCAAATTTTATCAAAATCCCTCAAGAAACCAGCTATTGTGACAACAACACATTGTCAATTAAAAATTGAACGCGTTTTCAACAACAAGAACAAGAACTCATATCGAAATATTTTTTTGTTCTACAGACTACAATTGATGTGTTTGTATTTCTTACGTGTGTCGGATGTTCCATAACGAATTTGGTGATAATTCGATAATAATTTCTAAGATATAAACAATATAGTGGAACTCTACAGGCTACAATTACTTAACGATTGTTTAACGAGTGTTTTGATTTTCTTTGTCAATATTATCTTTGATGACGATGATCTAATAATTTTGGTTCGAAATATATTGTGTCGACTAAGCGCATTTAACTGATACTCATTGTAGAGTCTACAGTTCTTTGTAGAATGTCTTTATTTTATTGTGTTTTTTGATATAATGAAGAGGATTTCTATACAATTTGGTAATTTTCCGTTGAGATATTGAAGTAGTCTTTGTCGCCTTTCTCTTGACTTTTTAACTTTAATTAACCCTTTGAAGGTCCATAAAATTATGATCCCGGGGCACACTGGCGATCAAAATTGACAAATGACTTTCTTTATTGATTCTCAATTATCGATCAAAATGTAGATCACGAAC